ACAACCTCGGAACTATATACCTGAATGATTGAGAATAATGGCTGCTCAGCAATGCTGTAAACAGCATCATTTCAGCTGGAGAATTGTGATGTCAAAAAAGCAACAGATTGGTCACGACGCAGAAGACTCAATGGAAGCTGCGCTCCAAACTTGAACGAGTTTTTGAGAATTCCAAACGTCACTTTATTTGTGTTCCATTGTTTATGGTTGAGTCGAATGTTAGTGAATGATTGCATAGTGTTAAGAAGCTTTGTTTCTGATCTTCATGCCTAAAAATCGGTAATGYTGGTATAATACCTGCACTTTCCTACCCAAATTTTGAGATTTTGGCAACGCTGAATGGTAAGAGGGTSAAGTCAATGTGTAGATAAATTGAGTTTAGCTGCCGTGGTTGTAGAGAGCGCTACACTGTTTTTTTGCGTTGCAAAGTTTGGGTCGCTAAGATGCTTTTGCTGCTTGTTCTTTGATATAGCGGAGCTATACAGGAAGAACAAAGAACTGRAAAACTGATAGAAAACTTGGAGGAAATATGTTGTTACGAGCTTCCATGATATGAGCCACCAAAAGAAACACTCAGTAAAATTGTGATGTGATGAAGTCAATGCTGATTGTCAAGAAACGAAGATTGAGAAAGCGCTTATGACGCGTTGAATGCAAACAGTGTCATTCAAGAAAAGTTGGAGAAATTGTGAAATTGTCCAATTTGCTTGGAAATAATGTCGAAGACTTTAGTGWTAAGAATCGGCGAATAGTTTGGACCGAGATTACCACTGCAAAAGACTCCTGCGTTTGGAGAGCACATAAAGACTAAAAGGAGGTTTCGTGCTCAGGCAGTGTTGTTTCCCAGTTGGTCRTTGCCGAGAACAAGTGTTTCACCATGCCCTAGTACACTGAAATTTGTGTTCGGATGCGATACAGTGTTATCAATTGGAAAAAGAAGAACGTTCTGTTTGCGTGGTTGTTCTTGGTTCTCCTCTCTACAAATGGCAGTTCTCAAGTCTTTTGGGGGAGCATCCATTGACTCCTCTGTAAGTTGAAATGAACCCCAATGAATCCCGACGCTTCGCTTCGAATGTAGATCTCTATGTATCTGCAAGGCTTCTTGAGGGTTACAATGGGAATCTTTGTTCATATCCCTCGGTTCGTATGCCCCAATAGGGATGCAAGACAAATCAAATGGGCCCAAAGTGTCACCAATTTGTCGAAACAGAGGAAAGTTTTCTGAGAAGAAAAAGTAGGAAGGGGTGAGAATAGAAATTCGTCTTTACGGCCAACATGATGTTGGTATATTCCGTTGCTCGCAATCCGTACCTGGATAGCCTAATTTTTTATACGAAAAGTCTCCAGTATTGTTAGAAGCAATGGCAATCGAAAGGAACCATGACGAACATTTTTATTCAATTTACTCACCTGTGTCACCGCAAAAAAAAACTTTATATGATGCTACTGAAAACGCAAAGGAACACCACAAGCGCTGCAGTGAAACACGAATTCGGTCAGGCCTATCGCTCAAGTTTTTCAGCAACGCGTCGTCTTGTCTAATTCTTACCGTGTTTCGGTCGAAAAGCGTACGTCCACCCCAATGGCTGCTCGGGCAACAGGTAATTGTCAAAACGTCATCATCACCGTAGGAATCAGAGTCATGGTCATGGACGACTACTACATCCCCCATGTGCTTTGCAAGATGCAGTTGTTCCCACCATTCTAACTCAATGATTTTGCTACGACGGATGGAACAGGTTTCTGCAAGCCAGTTTCCGATTCCGCATGGCACGACCCATAGAGAAATTAAATCTCGAAGATTTTTGACACTTTCAGTGTCCATGTGATCGTAGTGGTCGTGTGTGATACAACACACGTCGAAATTACGATCGCGATCCGAGCCATTGTTCACTTTATGATTTGTAAGCTCTTCGATGGTATATGCAGGTGGCAATTCCCGTTCGACACCGAGGAATGTTGAGAATGGAGAGGCTCTTTTGCTAAATATTGGGTCTGTTAGAATGGTGAACGTCTTTCTGATTTGAAACAAGGMAGTGGAATGTCCTATCCAAGTGAATTGAAGGTTCGAGTGATCCGCAACAGGTAGTGGCGGTACCTCATGTGTCAATAGAGGTGAAGGTTTACTAATCAAATTGGTTTCCCCTGATTGAATGGTTGGCAACTTGAAAGTTGGTAAAAAGGAAATATTTTCCCGCATGAAGCGTTGCCATCTCCAACGGAGAATGGTTGTCAGGGAGTGAACCCCATTGGTGCTTTGGCTCTGCCATGGATTTACAAAGCGACCTGTTGAGTCGCGAGCCGTAAGCGGACGACCTAATTCATCAAACCATTCTTTCTTCGAGTATTCTTCCACTAGAACTTTTTGTATCTTGATCCAAACCTGATTTCGAGTCAAATTCCATCTTTGATAATGAACCTTACGACGAGATTTGTATCTCGATTTCAGCTTTCCATATTGTTCCTTTCGTCTATCCTTCCAACGTTGGTAGTTCTTGGCTACTTCGCGGACTTTCATAGAGGACATCCAGGGTTGGATGTATTGTAGAGACGGACCTTGATATCTCTTTCGGAGCTGACTTCGGACTCTCTTCCATTTTGAAAGTTTCAGTTTCCCGCCATGAGGTTGCCTTATTTTCGATGCGGTGTTGTTCTTTTGTCGGAGTTGTTGTTGGGTACATATKGTGTTGCTCGTTTTTGTAATCGTCCCAAACGGTGGCGGCAAGCTTCTGAACTTTTTCTSACGGTTTTTCAAAAGGATGACCCGAACAATTCGTGAATCGCTGTGTTCTAGCCAACGCTCTAGGCGCTCTTTTRWTTCCGTCCACGACACCGGTATGAAGAGATAGGATCGAACTTGTTGCCTGTGAAGTTGGGTGAATCTTGATTGCGATAATATACTGTCCAGCCGATAAACAGATTCTTCACGTATAATAGGATCAACCAAACGACATGCTGGTCGTGGTATCCTTGATTGTAGTCGAGCAGCCCGTATTGTCAACATTACCGAAGTAATRCAGCTTTTGGAGGTCAAACCCCTGGGTAGAAAGGAATGAAAATACTACCGTAAAGTACGTACTGTACGCCTTTAGATGAACAATAATGTAAATGGTCCGTAGGGGAGGGATCATAAAACAGAGGTGTGCGTGACAGATTTTTTCTCTTGCAGGATCAGNGTACGCCTTTAGATGAACAATAATGTAAATGGTCCGTAGGGGAGGGATCATAAAACAGAGGTGTGCGTGACAGATTTTTTCTCTTGCAGGATCAGGAACCATGTCGATTTCGATGTTTTTCGAAAAATTTAAATTCTCCGGTCCCCTTTTTTCCATTATGTGGTCGGTTTTGATTACAAAAAAATGTGATCAGAAATGATCACAAAATTGATGAATTTCTTGATCACAATTTTTTGTGATCAGTTTTGATCACACTTTTTCCAACGGATTAGAATTTATGTTTACTTTATTCTTACATTAATAATTATATTCGATTTATATGATTCAATTATATATATAAATATTTATATTTATATATATACAGTCATGTATGGTCGCACGTCGCGTATACAGGACTGATATACTATTAGTAGTAGTACAAACGTGTAAAAATACTTTTATTATTTATATTAGGTTATTTAATTATTATATAAAAACGGGACTAGTACAAAATTTACACAATACAGTTCGAATTTGTGATCAAGATTGATCACAAAAAACTGATCACAAATTTGTTATTTCTGATCACATTTTTTTGTGATCAAAACTGATCACAATTTTCGGTACCCAGAGGGGGATCTGGGAATCTAATTTTTTCCAAAAAATTGAAATCGACATGGTTCCAGAATTTCATGATGATTTCAAGTCTGTCTGAAATTGGGTGATTCCCGTTATTATATGCTAAATTTGATAGACAGACAGACCGAAAATCTATCACATGTTGTCATAGATTTAGCATTTTTGAATGAAGTTATACATGACTGGAACCAATGAGCGATAAATAACTATTGCTGATATAAGAGTCGCAGATGGAATACACATATTGTGTGTTTCCAAGATAGCTTATAATTTTCTTTATAGGATACTGTTTGCATGCCTACTACGGTACCTTTGATAGTTACTTGCTGGTTCTTGCGCGTGTTTTTATTCAGTTTATCAGACCCAATAAACATATAGTTCAACCATGGGATTTTCAGAGTTATCCCATGGCACAACTGTATATTTAGCATTAAATACCAAAGGGTAGCTCCCTAGGTATAAAGAAAGACGCCAAGGAGCTGAATTACGTCTACAATATACCAATATATGCCTAAAATGGTATGTAGCGCAATAAACAAACAGCAGGAGGCACACGGGTCTGCAGCTCGTAGGGAATAGGCCCCCTTCCATAAGGGAAAACAAGCACCAATGAACAACCTTCATATACATAGATATTGAAGTGGTGCAGRCTGTCAAAAGTATYATATAGCGTGGGCCACGCGTTTCCGGCCGACCCAGTCGTACATTACCAGAAATCCCAGATATCCGTACATGTATATCAATCAATATTCATCGTACGCCGTACTCCCCCACGCCATTAGAAAGCTCTTTCAATTCTCTTTTMAACCATGTGCTTATCATTGTTAAGCGTCCGTTGGGGACCAAATTATAGCTGTTAGAGTGAGTTGTACCCTACTTACTGCCCTACGTGTATTTTGTACTGTGCRGGGATTTTCTGCCATCTTTTTACCGTGTAATGACTACTTTGACTCAACCCCCAACGGACGCTTTTCACCTCAACAGACAAAGTTGCTCACAAAATTTGGCCACTAATCGTGTAAACTCTTATCTTGGCAATTCCACTCCTTGATACATTTGTTCTGTGTCCGGTTTATCAGAAGGAACCGTGTCGGAAGCATTTCCCCGTGCTTTTAMCATGATGTGTTGATCCCATTTCGTWCTCTTAAAATTGATCAAGAACAATACACGCTGTGACCAACAGCACCCCTGCTAAGYATGGAGGATACTGCAAGAAGCAAGCAAAAACTACATAATAAGCAAAATAACAGCAAGCAAAAGAAGCAAGATGAGCAACCGACACCAAAAACATCAGAYTTCCTTGTGGAAGACCTCCATAAGGATGTATATYGATACGCCAAGAGCTCYCCAGACTCAGTCCCTCCACGACRRACTGAAGCTGTCTTGTTTGGTTGTCTTCATCCAAAGCAAAGAGTGAAGTTGAATAAGAGGAGGGCAAGAACAAAGAAGGCCCGCCACCAAGCTAGKATGCTTGTTTACAAAGGACCCAAAGCGTGTGCTTACAAGCACTGGATGCCACATCGGAAGCTCATGATCRTAAAGGGTAACATGGAGATGAAGTGGTATTCAGCAGCAAAGGCAAGGGAAGCAGCAAAGTTGGTTAAGGGCATTGATCCAGGGGCTGGATGGAAGATCCAAATAGTCATGGATGATCCCCCTGAAGCTCCCGAGCCCCC